AATTTAAATTAAATAGTGATAAAGTCTCTAGTCTCTCTCATGGGATAGTAAACGGTGACAGTGAGGTTTAGGTAGGTATAATTGGTGGATAAGGTCGGTTTCCCATGTAAGTTTTAGATGATCTCCCACAACTAAGAAAATCAGTGGTAAGCATTTTGTAAGCATTTTTGCATTCTTGCCTCAAGCTAAAAAGCACCTGAGATTGGAGTGTAGATTTATCTTTCAGCATGAGAGAGGAGAGCTAAAATAGCTTACAGCATGTAATGTGTTTTGCCCTGGCTCAATAATAGATGAAACCTAAAATCCATGACCCAGGATTAAACATTTCTTCCTACAGACATTTTTACTGTGCTATTTTATAAAAAAGAATGAAATCACCCACTATATATATGTAAGACTGGTCTAGATGCACCCCAAAATACTTCAGCAATCTCTTTGGAAATAATAGGTTCAATGGAATATTAATTCCAGGGCTAAAAATAAATGTAGTAATTTACAACAAATGTAAAAACAAATACTAAAAATAACAGAATATGAACTATCATTTCCGAATCCTTTTACAATTAGTTTGGAATATGATAATTATATGTATTTCATTTTTTTTTTCGTTTTGTGACATCAGTATTACAAACTTTTTTTGCATTTGGACTATAGTTTCGTTAAATTCCTCATTTGACTGAGCTAAATGACAAACTTAATGAATTGGCGAAAAAATTAGGTGATATGCAGCAGGATTAGAATTGTATTTGCCTTTTGCAAAGTTCACTGAAGTTCACAATGTTATGAATTTACACAAGTTATTCACTTCTGAATTTCTTGTTACATTTCTCTTACATATTCTCCTGCACTCATAAACTAAAATGAGCCTTTGTTTGAGTGTAGATATCCAAACGTTCTAGTTCTTTCTGGATTGGACTAACTGTGGATCTTGACAAGTCATTCCAGTAAGTTTATGTTCCAAACATATTTGGGAAAAAAGGAATATATGTTTGCAAGCTTTCTTTCAAAGCATTAACTAAATATAATGGTAACAGAGCAGATTAATGGATTAGTGTATTTTCTTTGCATACTTGACCTCGTCTTTTCTTGCTTTAAGATGGATGGATGGTTCTCCAGTGATTTATCAAATGTGGGATGAAGGACAACCTAATTTTATTAACTCTGATGAAAACTGTGTTGTCATGAGATCGTTCCATGGTGAGTAGATAACTAAATGAAAGTAACTGAAAAAACTATTTCATATGTGTTGTTAGAATATGAGCCTTGATAATTGGGAACATTTTAATTGGAATGACCGTGATGGACTGATCATTAGATCTTACATGGTTTGAAGTTTGACTTTTTGGGTGGTTTCCTTTTTTCTTGTGACTAAAAATAACTTTTATTATTTTGTCCTTCTGATTGCATTTTTTAGATAATGTAGTAAGAGAATAGGGTATTGTAGAAAAATGGTTCACCAACTTTTACTCATTCAAAAAATATAGACAAAACTAAGACCAGGGGAGGGATATGAACTATTAACAAAATAGTTATTATTATAATGCAATAATAATACTATTAGTACTTTTTTTATTTTATCATTTCACATACATCTACACCCGTAGATTTTCTTTTACTTATTGTATTTTTATTTTAATGGCCAGTACAGAAAAGTTTAAATGAGAATAATGAAGACATCAGAAAAATTAAACAACAAACTATCTGAAAAATATGTAAATATAAATAATTTGGTAAATGTCACCAATCCCTATGTATATACACACAAAAACGTGAAATGCATATCGTGGCTTCCTGACTTATCATTTATGGTTTCACAGGGTTCTGGCATGATTACAACTGTGGATTTGAATTCGGTTCTATTTGTAAGCGCAGTAGCTCACCTCCTGTCAATGCCACCGTGGCTCCTACAGTCCCACCTCAAGGTAACTGCAAAGAAGGCTGGAAGAGGATCAACTCCAAGGTGAGATTGGCAGCATTTCAGTTTTATACCTTGAGAATATCTGAGAATATCCTTCTGTTGGAGCTAGATCGAATGCATTCGGTTGGAATATACACAAATTGTAACTTAATTTCTTATGGCTCAATTTCAGTGTTACAAGATCATATATAGTAAAAAGGTAACATGGTTCAATGCAAGGCAACAATGTCAAGAGATGGGAGGAAACTTGGCCTCTATTCCCTCAAGACATGAGCAAGGTTGGTTTTCTCATGACAGTTTTGAACATTTACTTCAGTTCAAGTTATTTGCTACAATACATTTACCTTAGTATTTTGCTAAGTTTTCTAGTCATCAGCCTTGCTGTAGTTAGGCTTTGTATTTGACTACTAACCACCCTCACTAGAAATATTGTTTTCAGGTCTAAACATGATTAAACTGGAATGCAAAGTGATGGGAATTTCCATGCCAATCAGAAAAGCCAGAAATTTATTATGTTATTGATTTGAAATTGTCTGGGACTTTAACGACTGTTTTCTGTTTTCAGTGTTTTTAGTGTCTGAAATGGCGAACACCAAATAGAGACCTGTGGATTGGTATTCATTGCTCGTATGGCAATGGGTTTTACTGGACCGATGGACGGCCAAAGTCTTATGTCAATCTTGATAATTCTGTAAGTTAACATTGTATGTTTGTGTTGTCAATTTGAAAATGTTATTACTCAAACAATTAATGAAATACAACATTTTGTTTTATATTTCATTAGCGAGATAGGCATTCACCCCTTTCACACCATTATGGTTATATGGTAATATAAAAACATTCATCTTTCTTTGTACGAAATCAGTGGTTCTACAATTTGTCAGAATCCTTTTGATGAAGACGTAAGTAATTCTTAGATTATTTACGTTTGAATACACAAAAACCATTCCTTTTGCTAGTGAAACAAGCTTCGCTCTGACCCACTGGCAGAAAATTATGTCCTAATAGTGAGGGCTGGTCTACCAGGGACTGAATAAAGAAAATGTGACTGAATAGATATGATCTCTCCCTGTAATTCTGATCACATCTCCCTCAGTTTTCCCCTGCGGGGAACAAAAAATATTCTCTGATTCTGAGGTGTACAGATTATAATAATCTTAAAATGTTGCTTTATTTTGCAGTTGTATATTGCATTTCGAAACGAGGTGAGTATTTTCTAAAATGTAATTCTTACCATTTTACACTTAATTACCATCTTTTTTGATCTACATTTGCTGGGTTGTCATTTCTAACAGAAAAAATGTGCTGTGATCAACGGTAATCCTTCATATGGACTTGGAAAATGGATACCTAAATCCTGCAATGACACCAATGGATTTATTTGTTTAAGTGGCTTACGTAAGTCATTTAACGTGGTTCCTGCTGATGGTTTTCAAAACAGTAAAATTTTCACTTACTTGCATACTACACCTTTCTGTCCCACTTTCAACCTTCAGTCCAGGTCTAGTTTATTCTCTCTGCTAAAAAACAGCAAATGATTAGTAAAATTGCAATAAAATTTGCATAATTAATACTTGTAAATAGGAATCCATAGTTGTGAATTGATTTGTGTAACCTTGTAAAGAGAATTTTTTTTCTTTTCTTTGGCTGATTGGCCAATCACAAGAACTTTTTATAACCATTTTGTTTGCACAATCCTTCTACTTTGCTCCAGATGTCCAATTTTACTTAGGGTGGTGAAGTTACTTCTAAGTTAGATATTTGACAGATATTGCCCTTATGTCTCACTACAGTCAGCAATGGCTTCTCATGCAGTGTGCTGTCACAGCATGAGATACGTCACTTGGGAAGACTCACTGTACTTATGCAGAATGCATTGATTCAATAAAAGACCACCAACAAATTCCAGTTGGTAGAATCACCATAAACAGCAAGACCTCAAACCCTAAACTCAAAAGCTTCCAAGTGACCCAAAAAGTGATACTGAATTATGTTACTACTCTACACTACTGAGATACACCTGATTCTATGAGATTCTATGAATCTCCTACTGAACTTTTCTGTAATCTTAGTGGATCGTTACATTTTTAATTGACCTAGCATTGACCAATCAGCTGTAAAATTTAGTACCTGCAGGTGGAAACTCACACCAAAGCATGAGAGTTTTTTATTTGCACCAGTAAAAAAAATATTAACTAAAAGAACTTGAGGAATTATTTTTTACAAATAAATTTTTTACACAAATTATTTTCTAAGGATGCACAAAAAATGTTTCTCCATTTTATTTTACAAGGTTACACAACTCATGCATTCTGATTACAAGTAGATGGTATTTATTTATAATCATTTCTATTTAAATCTATACATTTTTAAATGCACATTTTTGCAATGACATAAGTACTATGATTGAAAACTAAAAAATTATTACTTATCATTTCTATTCTTAAACAGAACCAAATACACCTGAAACAACTACACTATCAAATCCAGATAATTACTTCAAAATCCTAAATGATTCCATCAAGCTTGTCACCCAGCAAAAGAGTTGGTCTGATGCTCAGAAGACCTGTGAAGCTGACGGTGCCAAGCTGGTCAGTGTACGGAGTGAGTGGACACAGGCTTACATTGAGCTGCTGGCTTTGAATCTTAAACGTCCTCTGTGGATTGGACTCAATAAAAACCAGGTATGGTCTTTACAGCCTCTAAAAGCAAACATTTATTCTAGATTCCATTCAAACATATTAGATGTAATGCTTTCATAACAAAATGCTCACAGGGAATTGGTGAAATGCAAATTTTTACAGGTACAAGACCTGTCTGATGTATTAAGTGGAAATATGAATTTCAGTTTGATCAGTTGAAAAATGTTTAACAGATATTTTAGATATTTAACAATGTTTAGCCCTTTTTTACCAAATTACACTGAATGCTTCTCAGCCCTGTTTTCTAAACAAGATACTTGTTGATTATCTGTGTAACCAACGTTTACTTAACACAAAAGTTTAGGTCATTGAGCCGTATGTATTATCTCTTTTTTATTTTTTGGATGTTTTTTTTTTTTACTTTCAGACTAATAACTACTTCCAATACATAGAGGGCTGGCCATTACTTTTCACCCGCTGGGATAGGAATGAACCACGTATAGGGGGAATTTGTGTTTATGTGGATGTTAATGGAAAATGGAAAACCAGTGATTGCAATCACAACTTCGGCAGTGTTTGCATGAAGTCCACAGGTGAAGGCAAACTAAATATATTCTAAATAAACATATAAGCAAAAACATCCCTTAATTTGCTTAAATCTGCATTTTACTGTTTAAATTTTCTTCTATTTTGCTATGTAATGACAAATAAATTTTAATAAAACGTTTTTCAATTATTAATAAGTAATTTGTACCACTGTTTATGTAATACACAGACACACCGCCAGAAGTTAAATCAGACGATTATCCTGGAATTTGTCCAGAAGACCCATATCCAGGTAGGACTGGATACGGGGCTTCTGCTTTCATATGGCCGAAGTCGGTGGCAGACCTGGAAACCTTTCAGAAATTTTTGCTACCTATTTTCTCTGAAGAGAAAGAGTGGCAAGATGCAACTACTAGCTGTCTGTCACATGGTAGGTGTCTTCTGTGAAAAATCCTTTCTGTAGTAGTGAAAATTGATTTTGCATTCACAAAAAATTAACTATTGGTGTGTTCTGTGAAGGTGGAACCCTTGCCAGCATTGGAGATCCCTGGGAACAGGATTTCATACTTAATAACATTAAAACATTTCAAAACTCATATACATCTTATTGGCTGGGCCTGTTCAAAACTACTAAAGGTAATGAACATCACAAAAAGGCAGTGTTAAAGGAAAAATTATCTGAACATGTGTCTTCCATGTTTTACAAAAATAATTTTACACTGTAAAATATTTGAGCCACATTTAGTTGTGTCTACTGTCTTCAACTCAGTCAATTACATTTAGCGAGTTTTAGATTTTGAACCTACATGTGTGAGTTTGTGAAATATAAACTTACTGTAGTAAGTTGTGTCAACTTTTTTTATGAATCTTTTCAAACCTCTAAGTTTTTAATTTAGCACTTATAAAAACTGCAAGCGGAAAAAGACAGGAGTGGGAACTGTTTCCCAGAATGCTTAGCAGCATGTCTTTTTATCCCGAGATGGAATTGTGTTAGATTGATCTGAGTCTTGTGTTTTATTAAGGAAAATGTCTATTTTCAGCAATCCTTAGCTTACAAAGCTTGAGGATAATGTCCTGTTCACACTGAATATTTGAGAGCAGAATGCATCGTAATGTTTAATGAAATTTATCACCAGATCAAAAATTTTGTTCATGCAATTTGAAGCAAGAATTTAAATTATTCTAAAGTAATTATTTAACCATTTAGCTAATTAAGTAGTTAGCTAAATAATTTTGTGTTATTGTGAGTGAAAATAATAGAGAAATGTGTGCTCTTTAACTAGATGAAGACAGTTATTTTTTTCATATTGTGAAATAGTTTGATTTAAATTGCAGCATTCAGTTAAAAATCACAATTCAAGACCAATAAACTTAAAAAACAATGTTTATGAACTTTACTTTCAGAATTAAAACCAAAATAATTTTCATGTTTACTGAAATTGCATTTTCAAGGCACCTTCAAATGTTTTACAATGTATTTGTGTAATTTATTATTTATTTCTATTTTTAAACATTTTAGTTATTCCATAAATTACAGCAAATAATAAAATAAATATCTGTCTATCCCCAGGAGAATGGATGTGGTTGGATAAGACGGTCATGGATTTTGAAAACTGGCGAGAGTATCCGATTTACTACTTCGGCATGATTAGTGTATCAGACGGGAAATGGCATACAGGGTTTCAATGGCAAAAAAGACCATACATCTGTAAAGCAGCCAAAGGTAAAAACTTTACAATGAATTAAATCTCAACTATCAAAATCACTTCAATAGCATTTCAGACACTTCCCTTGCTGTAGTAAAAAGATCATGGTGTAATTAATTTTATTGTCTTTGGTCTTATATTTTCTTTACAATGTAAACTTGATATTTACACTGTATCAAATGAAATATTTCTGGTACATTTCCTCAGTTTTTTAAACTTTGTCCATTTGTTTGACTTTGTTAAAGATCATATTGATACCTCTTTCATTCTTTTGAGGAAAATAGCTGCCTAACAGCTGACATTTCACAGTAAAAGCCACATAGACAAACATGGTCCTCTCAACATTACAGTGCAAGTAATTTAGAATTTGTTAGCAGCATGCAAATAATTTCTACCAATTAAAAAGAAACCAAATCTGCAACATTTTTGATAAGGTTTTCTTTTTCTTTCCAGTGTTACCTCCAAAGCCATCACCCAAACCAAGTGAGTCATGCTTTCATCTTTTTCTATTTGGAATTATTTTTTTCTTTCTCTTCATCTACTTTTTTTCTCTGCAGATGTTGCCATTGATCCTCAAGGTCGGGGTCACACAGCTTTAGTAGCTGTGTTTGTCATTGCTGGGATTGCAATGGGAGCAGGTATTGCTTTCTTCCTGTTCAAGAAGTCTGGTCGTCAGATGACTCTCATACCAATCCCTGGAGGGTTAACGGCCTTTGACAACCCGCTTTTCAGCAGCAACCAGTCACAGAAAAATTTGGTGGACACTAAAAAACTGCTGGGGAACGCAGATGAAGATAACAGTCAACCTGTAATAACTATATAATTGTAAAAGACAGCAGATGGTGCATGGACGTATTCTCTGTTATGGCTGCTTAGGATCAATGTAAATGCAAAGAATGATTTATACAAGAAGATGGTGTAACAATTAATTAACTGGAATGTTAATTCAAGTAGCTTGGATGTATGTTGTATTCTAACTACTGCAAAAGTTTAATTGCCTACTGAGAAAGAAGACATGAACACTCGTTGACTCAAAGTAGTCATTCATTTAGAAATGATGCAACACCTCTCCAAATATTATTATTAGAAAAATGTGTTTGCAAAAAGGATCAAACAAGACAGAATTCACAAAAGGTAGAAAGTCTCTATAGATGTTTGCTTGTAATTCAATTCCCAGCATGGAGAAAATGCAAAGTTATACAGTTGGTAGGTCAGAGCATTCTCTGACTAACAAAGGAAGTTATCTTGCTACACTTCCTATGTGATTTGTGCAGATGTAAGGTGTTTTTTTGCAGTCCTGCAAAAGCACTTAAGACCATTGGTTTCTTATCTTTGCTGACAGTCCTCCAGTAGGAAATGAACTTATGAACTTAGCTTCCTTGCATCTTTAATGTTGCAATGTGTAAGTTTCACTTCAGCAGTCAATATGTAATGTTATTCTGAAACCAGGATATGTCTAGAAGCATAAGGTCAAAAGGCACCAAATGAGTAAATGATGAATCAAGTGAATGTGATCAATAAATGACAATTAACAAGTATTTTTTCCAACAGTTACAAAAAAAAATCATTGCAAGAGATTATACATTTTGAAATACTGATGTTATATGTTGTAATATTTACAATTGATTGAAAAATGACTTATGGGAAAGTATACACTTAGCAATAATTATTGTGAAAGCCTTGTCCTGCCTTTGCGGCCAGTATGTTCCTACTAGTATTGGTAAAGAGGAATAATCTTTGGAGAGGTTTTAAGTGTTTGGAGCTCAGAAGGACTTCCTGCCATCACCCTAATCTTTAGCTTCCTCCACAAATTCTTTGTTAGTTTTATGCAACAAATCTTATTCCACTTTGAAACATTAATATGTAGAGAAAAATAAAAACATTGCTTTAGATCTATATTTGACATGGTAATCAGTTATATTATGCTTAACAAGAGAAATCCATCAATATTTTTGATGGATTGAAGCTCAGGATGATTTAGGATGATTATCTTAGCAAATAAATATGTTGTAAAAAAAATCTAATTAACAAAACTTCCTGTCAACTTGTTGCTTTGGTAAAAAGAAAAAAAAAGTAAATAAATAAAATGGAATTTGCTAGTAAAGCTATTCATTTTTTTTGTTTTATTTTCATTTTTACAAAGTTGGCCATTTTGTATAATAAGTGGGATTTATATAGAAGGAATTTCCCTGATTTTAAATGTGTCCGAATGATAACTTTGATTATTTTCTTGACTGTATAATTTTATTGATAAATTAGATCTGTTTTGTAAAGTGCCTTAAAATGACCTTTGTTTGAAATAGGCCTTATATGAATAAAATAAAAATGAATGAAAGTGAATTGATGTAATTTGTGAATTCAAATTAAATTGGAAGTAAAATGCTTTGGCGCTTGGACTACGGCAGAAGATGTGTGTGCTGAGAATCCAAAACTTATGGTTCCGATTCTATCTTCCTCCTGCCACATGTTGATGTTGGGCAAAGCACTGAACTCAAAGGTGTTTGAGGCAGAGCAGCTCAATTTTTTAGACAGATTAACTGTCTCCTAGTATACAGTCACAAAATAGTTAAAAAATATATCTATATATTATGTATTGATCTAAGACAAGTAACAAGTTATAATAATGAAAAAGCTGGTTTCCAAAGTGAGCCAGGGCAGCTTTGCTCTACAAAATTAATATCTGGAAATGGTAGCAATTAACAGAAGTTTATATTTGACATCATATTAGACAGATGCATAAATAAAATATTAACCTTCATCCATCTGGGTTACTTGCGTGAGTGTCTGTCTGTGTGTGTTAATTTATCATCTGGGATAACAAGACGTTTCAAATATGAAAAGAATTGAATCATGCATCTCCCATGGAGGCAAGGAGTGGGCAGCCTTGAAATGAATCACAAAGAAGTTCTTTTTACCTGGACAAACACTTTCAGTGTTTTGGTGATCCCGGTGTACCCTCTCAAAATCTGAATAGTTGCTTTACTTTGAAAATAATCATGGAAATTGTTTTGTTCCTTCATTGTCTTCATTGTCTTTCATTTATTTATTTTTTGTTTGTTTTTTAAATTAAACCTCAGTAAGAGCTATTAAATGCACAAGGTGTGTCTTGTGAACTTGAATGTGAACTTTAAATATTAACTGAATCAAATGAGAAAATCAGAAACTGGGTTTGAGAAATTAAAAATGACAGTCAGCATTCTGAAGACTTCCTTTTTGCAAGTTTTGCAAAAAAGGAAGGATTTTAGTTACCTAAGGCAAAGTGATTTGATTTACTATTAAATTGTGCTGTGCACATTAAACTGCAGTTTGACTCATTTCCTGTTTTTTTGGATTTTTTACGTCAGATTAAAAAAAAACAGAGAAATTGTGAAAAGCTTAAGACATTTACTCTTATGGTGAGTTTATAAAAATGTACCTTTCTGGATTTATTTCAGTGCTTTGTTTTGTTGTGTTGAGTCCTGCATTGGATTTAGGATGATTATCTTAGCAAATAAACATGTTGTAAATTATTTCAAGTTATTAAATAGGTTAAATGTTGTTTTTTTAATAATCACACTGACATACTTGAAAATGTGTTGATCTGATTTTAATTGAAAATAAATAAGTATGAAACAAAACTGTCAGAATTCTGACTTTATGGAAAACCTTGAAAAGGAGATTTAGTGACGTGTTGCAGCGGAATAAGTCAGTGACTAAATCCTTCCCTTTTCTGAAATCTTTAACATCACTTCTACATTTTCTGCAGGCAACATATGGATTAAATGCTCAGCTTTGGGGCATTTTAAAGGTTCATAATGCATGGCTTGTATGTGATCCTGGGGCTTCCTTTTACACATTTCCATTCATTGGAGTCAAATGGTACAGTATTCCCACTTTTGATAGCAGGATGTTTGTGAGTTTCTGTTAAAATGCATGGGTCTAAGCTTTGTTTTCAACCATTGCATATGGACATTTGAAACAGTTTAACACCAGATTAATTTTTTTAATCAGCTACTGTTATTGAATTGTAGACTTTTTTTCCTTTTACTTTTTTTAGTTACTCATTGAACTGTTTTGAACAATTTCTCTTTTCAGATTCACCATTTCAGCTTACCAACACAGGCACAGAATTTTGCTTAGTTAAAGCTGGCAGCAGGTGCGACGACATACGCTGGACAACTGGCAATCGACTGCTGGTTCCCAGGGTGAATAAATGCCTGGGAGTTCAGGGAAAAAGTGTCGGGAATCAAGTGAGCCTGTACAACTGTGATGAAACAAGTGAACTCCAAAAGTGGGAATGTAAGAATGAAACGGTGCTTGCCCTCCAAGGCCAGGAGCTTTATATGGAGCTCAGAGCAGATAACCAAGCTGTACTATCAAAATCAATGGGACCCAACAGCCAACTCACCATTTCAGGGATATCTAGTGGAGCTTGCACAAGAACCTATAGAGGTAGGAGACTCTCTTGCTGTTTTTCTTTATTGTTCAAGGCTGAGTGGTCTATTGTGACCTTACTGTTTGTTGTAAGGCTCAGTACTTCTTTAATTAAAAGGATTTAAGTGTGTTCATTTAATCAATGAGAGTCAATGAATGGTTCCATCTATGCCCTCATTTTATAAAGGCTGCAGTGCATCGTTTATTTTCTTTGTCTCCTCCAAATCTGATGTGCAATTCTTACAAGAATTCATGAGATGTTAAATTTTTGTCAGTAACTGTATATGGTAAAATCCAATGCTTTTAAATTACAAAAACTGAAATAAATATTGGAAATGCTTCCTATAAATGCATGAATAATGCTTTATTGAGTTGTAATTTGCTTGGCAACATACTTTGACAAGCAAATCCCCCTTTGATGGTATGAATTAGAATTTGTAGTTTGCTTCTATTTTTGTGAAAGATAAAGTGAATTAGGCTGTGTGGCGAGAACACTGTAGTGTTAAAGAGTAATAAACAGTATGAAAAAATAGTGTACATTCAAAAATGACTGTTTCACCTATGAGTGCATTATAAAATGGGAAGCATAAAACTGCATCAGCTTGGGAGTAGAAACATGTCAGTCATCCATGTAAGAATCTTTGTGCCACTGACGTGCTTCTCTGTCTCTGATTCGATCCCTGTCGCTCTCCCTGTCCTTGTATCTGTCTCTGTCCCGATCTCTGCCCTGGTGGTGGTGGTAGTTGTGATGGTTGTGCGCAGGTGTAAAAGAGTTTATGTTGTAGAATCCCAATTGCTTTATATATTATCAGTGCAATGGGAAATAGCGCCTCCTCTCTGTGTGGCTGGTTATATGTTGCTGGCCCCTGTAATCAGTGCCAGTCTATGGAAGCTGCACGAGAGGTGAGTTTCATTCCTCAGCACACAGCACGGAAAAGTGTTAGAAACACATAAAATATAATTTGTAATAACTTACATCAATAGTGTGCAACTACTATTTATGATTTGTGTGCCTGGCACCAATTTTGCACTTTTAGTTTTGTCAATATTGTAAAACACTTTCTGTGCTAAGTTAAAGTCAACGTGATGCTCTGTTGTAGTGTGCTGAGGGAAGCTGAACCATTGCATTGATTCCAACCCGATCTGTTCTCATTCAGGTACATCATTTATTATTGTATTTTTCATTGAATGTTAAAAATATTAATGTACTGTAATCAGTGCCAGTCTATGGAAGCTGCACAAGAGTGTGCTGAGGGAAGCTGACCCATTGCATTGATTCCAACCCGATCTGTTCTCATTCAGGAAATAAACTGCCTGTTCACCCAGAACTCCTGGTCTTTAAAAACATCTACACAACGCAGAGTCGAGGGGTTACTTGGGTCGGCCTGGTACAGTGGAGTGAAGCAGAACCCGGTTACACAAGATAGAGGTCTGCATGGTGTGTCCGTGTTGGGATATGCTGGTGATGCCTCTGATGTCGGTTGTGTTCGTTGTGCTCCAGCTCGTAGCCTTCCCTGTCATGCAGCTGGCCACGGTGGCGTATGTGATGATGGTGATAATGGTGGTGGTTGCTACTGTGGTGGTGATGGTTATGTCCCCGGTGGTTGTAGTGTATTTCCTCCTCATCGCCCTCCACCACCACTTCCTCCACCTTGTCCTCCCTCTCCTCATACAGGGGTCTCCTTGGAGGCCTCTGGCTGTAATCTCTACCTGACTTTGCATTCACGTCACCAGATATTTGGCTGTGCTGTGCGTGGCTGTGGTGTTCCATCCGTCGGTGGTGGTGGTGGTGGTGGTGGTGATGGTGGTGGGTGTGCTGCGATCTTTTTGGTTCTGTCCTCAGAAGTCGCTCCTCTTCTTCCTTTCTTTGGCCTTTTTCAACTCTGTCCTCCTGATCTGGGGCGGGTGGGGTCTCCATTTCTGGGTGGTTCTCATGTGAACCCTTCCTCTTGGAGGCAGCCTGCTTCTTACTCTTCTGCTCATCCTTAAAGGAAAAGGACCAGATGAATATCATTTAACTAGTCACACAATAAAATTAAGTAACTTGCAATTCCAAATCACAGAGACGATGTGGAAAGATCAATGTGAACAATGAAAACAATGTGAGGAAGATGGTGATAAATTTTCAAAATGATAAGATGGATCATTTTT